ATAGGTAACTGACTGTTAGTGAATTGGTCCCGTTGTGTCCACATTTCTCTGGCCGATAGGCCCCGTCCCCGTATACGAGCGTTCAACCGGGCTAGGGTCACACAAAGCGTCAGAACTGTGACAGAGCCACCCAAAGGATCTTGGCGTAGAAGTTCTTCTTCTAGCTCTTGGACGGCTCTTTCGGCAACAGGGTTTTTATTGACATTCTTCACTCTCCCTATCTCAAGATTTATTCTGTGCTTGTGAAGGAGCTTATCATTGATGATAGAGGCAAATCCGGTGGCAGGGTCTGTTCTGATCACAGCTACTGGACCGTCTAATGGTCTGAGTTCAACGCAAAGGCGTATGAGACCATCGCGTAGTGTATCTCCCCTCTCATTTTCGATGAGACATGCGCTGGTGTACGAGGTTACAGTTTCTCGCAAGACAAGAATGAGTTGTCGTGACCGCTTCAAGACATCTGCAGCAAACGACGTACCTATTGATTCTGGGGGGTCAGAGGTCGACTGTTCTATGATGGTATGGGTCATCTTCTGTAATGATGAGCATTGATGGCAACTCTTCGTTGTTTGATCTATAGCTCTATCCATGTCGAGAGCATAGAAGAAACGGTGCACTACCTGTTTAAGTTGGTGGGAGGAGGGATGGTCTAACTGGATATGTATGGATGTGAGTAAACCATCTAGGACTTTGCGGGGTACTGCTATGAGTTCACGAGTTGGGCCTAGAGGTTCAACTCTTGGCACAACCAACAATCCATCCTTAGCTATGGTGACTGAATGGAGATACCTCTTGACATCCTTGATGTTGGTGAGCTTCTTAGATGGCCTGGTACCCTGAAGCAGGTGAGCATGGGTCCTTCTCATATCTTGACAGTCAGATTGTATGTCGTGCCACGCAGCTCTGCTGGTGAAGGGTAACTTAGCATCTCCGGCGATGATTTCTTGAACTGACATTGTACGGACAACCGAGTCTTCAGTTTTCCGGACAAAGGAGCAAATTTGACAAGTTGGCTCAGTACAATCAGGGGCGTTCCGACTTGAGAAGTCTGAGGGTACATTTGCCGATCCAGCCAGGTGACGAATAGTAGCCTGATATCGACTGACTGTGGAAAGGAAAGTTGATACGCGTGGGCTCGCTGAGAATTCACCCCTGCACAATTTCTCAAATGCCTGAACACAAGGCTTGCTGTCAGTAAGAATGCATGTGTTGTGGTGAGATTGGATGATGAAGGGGCTGAAGTGTTTCGTGGCCGCAGCAACAGAAAGCGCTTCGATTTCACAGGGAAGCCATGAAACCTGGCGTCCACGAAGTTTGGCACTAAAGAAACCTGCAAGAAGTTGCCTACTGTCGCGTGTGACGTAAAGTGTTGCTCCGACACCACGAGACTTGACAGCACCATCGGTCACGATCCATAACTGATCCTCCGGACGTGGGAGCACAATAGTACGGTTGGAACTCAATGCAGCCTGGGCCTTAGCAAAGGCTGTTGACAAGTCGTCTGACCATATGATTTTGTCTTTGCTTTGTGAACCTGCTAAGGCTTCATCCAACGGTGAAATGAGGGTGGCACATCCATGAATGACACGGGCTAGTACTTTATAAGCTCCAATGAACGAACGAAGTCCCCGTGTTGTCTCTGGAGGAGCGCATGTCGAGAGGGTCGCTATTCGGTGGGGGCTAGCGTGAATGGTGCCTCGGTTCCATATCCAACCCAGAATCGTGACCGTAGAAGGACAGATAACAGTCTTAGCGGCTGACAGATGGAGACCATTCCGGTGTAGGGCCTGTAAGACACGCTTCCATGTATGTAAGAGCTCTTCATGGGTATCCCCACCACAGTACAAGTCATCAGCAAGTTTAGCAACTACTCCCTCTTCAAGTAATTCTCCTAGCACTCGGCACATGAGTTCTTCAAGAGCAGTTTCTGACCCCGGCATGCCCATGGCTGACCTGGCATAGACTCTCACTCCTCTGAAGGGGGTCGCTACACCACAGTACTTCATAGACTCACGTGAGAGTGGAATCTGGTAAAAGGCATTTGTGAGGTCTGTGCTAATGATGTGTCTCCATTGGGCTATTTGGCGTAACGTTGAGTCCACATCAGGCATCAGGGATGGTTGTGGCTTACTGTAACGTCCAACGTCTGCAAAGGCAGTGACCAACCGGAAGCCTCCGCTAGACTTCCTGACTAGGAAGGATGGGTTTAAGTACTCTACGCAGATATTGGCATCCTCAGGTCTGACGAAGACACCCAAGTCTTCGAGTTCGTTGAACTTTGTCTGTAGTTCTAAAAGTCTGTCCCTGGAATATTGGGGAACACGTCCTTTGCGCTGCGGCGGTAGTACAGGTCCCATGTTCACAACAGCTTGGAATGGACCAGACTTCCCGTTATAACCCTGGAACCGGGGGTCAAAAACAGTGTCATACTCTTCAAGAAGCGACTTGAAACTGGCCACTACCAATGGGGGAATAGTAGAATCAGGATCTAACTTGACATGGCTAGAGTAGTTTGCGCCCTGGTGATGAACAGTTGAGGTTTTAAGACACGAATTTGGAGGGTCATGGGCTGTCGCATTGTTGTCCGGTAGGATAGCAACTGGTCTGACTTGACAAAAGTGTTCATGTCGTCTCACGGCCTGTGGACTATCAGTCAAATTTGGGATGCGGATCCTGCCTGAGACACTTGTTAAGAGGCTAGGTGGAGGCCACATGTAGTCGTCTTTTGTAGTCACTTGTCTAGAGTCGATACGTGGCTCAACTGCCACGGTTCCATCTTGAGAGTACATGTCGTCGGGAAGGCTGACCTCCAGATATTCACCAGGCCATACTGTAGCAACACGGGGAGCTCGTATAAGGCTTGCACGCCGCACAGTGTGACGAGTGGTCGGTTCGTCGGTAGAGCCATAAGTATATGTAGCATTGTCACCGACGTGCACTTGTCGTTTAGCTGGTCGAGTGTACACATCATTGCACTCAAGGAAGGGGGTTCCTGCAATGACATCGACATCGAGGTCCTTAACCACCAAGCCTTCGAACAAAAACTGTCTGTCATCGCGCGCAAATGTCATGCAGGTCTCTCCAACGACTTCTAGGGGAGAGGATCCATCTGCTTGATGGGCTGACTGTGATGACTTGGTAATCTTAGCATCTAGACGTATTGCGGCTGACAGGCGAATCATGTTGCCGGTTGCTCCAGAGTCGAGTGTGAGACGGACACCATGATGATGGTGGAAAACATCAATATATGGAGATTGGCGGACCTGGATCCTAAGTGCTGAGAGGTTAGACTTAGATGATGTTGGGGGCTCGATGGTGAAAACATCCTCTGTCTCCTCATTGTCATTGTCGTTTATGTCTAAAATGTGCGATATCTGTCTAGCCTTCGTCATGTATTTCCTGTCCCGTTCTGGCAGGTGTGGGCACACACTGAGGAAGTGGCGTATGTCAGAACGACCAGCTTGGCTGCACAGAGGGCACATCTTGTTTGGGCGTTGGGGGGAGGTCTTTGGAGGTCTGTTGGTAAATGGAGATCTTCGGTTGCCATCTGAGGACGCTGCAGCCCTCATAATCTTCACGTCATCCCCTGTCCGTATTTCATCTAGGAGAGATGAAAGCGCCTGTGAGACTTCCGGTTTGATGGAAGCTAAGGTCCGTGAGCGTAGTTCGGTTCCATATCTTTGCTTGACCAGTCTTGGCAATTCAGGGTGAATCAATCGTAGCCATGTGAGTATAACAAAGTTCTCTAAAGTGGGAGAAAGTTCCTCGTCCTCGTTGATTATCACTCCATGGTGCGTAATAGCACCCTCCCGACGCAAGAGATTGTCCTCAATAAAGGCCATGAGGCGCTGATATAAATCTTCTGGGCGTTCCTCAGGGTCAAGCTTAATGTCAGAAAAGTCTATGAAGTGAGCTCCGGTAGACTGAAATCCATAATGGAGTCTGATAACTTGCCAGATCTGACCAATGGATGTAGAATTCTTCACCATAGTGTTCCTTGAGATAACGGGGCAATAATTGGCTACTTGTCCAAGCATAAGTTCCAGGGCACTGACCTTTTGTAGAGCTGTTCGTCGCAACGCGACGGGAACCTCCTCATTATCATCCGTAAATCCACGCAAGGGAGCATGGGCGGTTTTCTTGAGCCATGTAGCACCTGTCGCTAGGAATGAAGCAAAGTTCCGATCTAGTGACAATGTATACAAAAGATTTTGACGCCAGTTCTCAAATGAATTAACTGTCTCGTGTTTGGTTAAACACCACTGTTTAGGTGCTCTCGCAGTACTAGCCATGATGAGGGTGTAACTTGTGCTATCCAGTAAAAGCAATACTGACCGATCGTCTGCTGTGAAGCGATTGTGATACTTTGAGTGTTTTGCACGATCCAACCGAATGTCAGGTGTGGGAACTTGTCCGTAGCGCTGCCACCACGCCAGTAAGGTTTGACGGACACTCTTAGGCCACTGACGATTGGGACACAAGATGGAGAGGCTTTTAGGTTGCGAGAGGTTTTATTTCCGAACAACACGAGGCGAGTACAAAATAATGAGCGCGAGAAGAGCGAAGACAAGGGAGGTAACTCGGGAGTCTTCCGTACCGCTAATAACCAGCCAACACTATTGGCGCAGGTACGAGCGCGTGTTTATTATCAGTTAGCTCCTTCGACAAGCATGTGATACTTGGGGCATTCAGTTGAAGGTGAGATCATAGATAAAATTACTCCCTTGGGCCAAGAATTATTCATCAGTCTTGCAAAGTGAGAAGTGAGAAAACGGAAGAATTGCAGAATTGAGAACAAAATATTCAAATTATATGTTGCAATATATTTTGATTAGAATTGGTGATGAAAATGCAGATTTTAAATTTTAGGGGCAAGAGAGAATGTGCAGTCATCTTTTGCGTCACAATGGGGAGCAGACGTCGTTACCATGGTTTGCTGTGATGAACTAAACTTTGCGTTATTTTAATAAGGGCGACCACTTTTTACATCTAATATATGTGAATACAGTACATGTAAAGTGCAGTGTTTAAGTATATGCTGCTACATACTTAGATCACCAATGATAGGTCTGTATTCCACATCAGGTAAGTTGAGATAACCTAGTGTTCTTTGCACCCGGGACATGGTGACACTGACTGCGTAACGATAACCCAATATGTGTAGACTTGTACTTGTACCTCACGCCAGCCAGTCAGTAGCAGAAAACGTCGTGTCGTACCAAGAGGTACACGCACACATCACGCTAACGGACAAGGACATCTCAGGGGATATTGTACATTCTGAGAATGGCCGTGTTTAAATGTCTTTCCTGGTTGCTGTCATGTACCTACCTGATCTGTGTTTGTAACTGTCAGGACAGTATTGTGTCTGTCATACAGAGACTAGATCAGTTTGACGAGGAACTGCTTGATAACAAGGATGATATGATCCGTATGGAGAAAAGGATACGAAATCTCATAGACGTCGCTAAGACATCATTGAGAGCTGAATTGAAGGAAAAACATACGGGATCAGGTGAGAGAAGCCATGGCCGAGATTCTACAAGGATAGTCTCTTCAGGACATGGTGAAAAGTCAGGTCGTCTCTGAAGTGCGGCATCTGAAACAGGGCTACCATCAGATGAAGAGACAGTTGCTTCATGTCTCAAGATCCCTCAAAGTCTTTCGGGACGAGACGGGTGAATTTCATAAATCTGTGCTGAAGAAAGGAGATGTGTGGAATCGAGAAAACTCAAGTGATACCTGTGTCAGAGATAAACACAGACTGGAAATAGAACTACGGATGAAGGATATTTGTGCTGCTGATCTCCAGAAAAAAAATATTGAACGATTCATCGTATTGAACGAGACATGCCAATCCCAAATATCACAACTGAAAACAGCTCTTGCTGTGCCTGCTTCAACCCCCGCCCCTGTAAATGTCACCTCAATCCCCAAATCACCAGTGTCAACCACGTCAGTGACGACACCCAGGCTAGAGGAGGAGAAAAGTAGGATCCTGATTGCTCCAGCTTGGTCAGACACCCAGCACCAGTTCCGTCAACTCAACATTCACAGAAACTCACTTAGTGTCTATCAGTATCACACCATGAAGCAGGTGACATGTGTTGCATACATAGCTAAGACAAAGAAACTTCTGATAGGACTAGCCTACCCTACTAAAATAGTGTCATCTACACTGGATACAAGTCACGTGACGGTGCTAAGAGAAGGTGTACGGACGTATGGCATGGCAGTGGATGAAGATCGGGACATTGTATTCATAGCCACGCATCAACCAGGATACTCAATCAGCCGCATGTCTACACAGGGGAAAGACTTTACAACCATCATTAACTTATCCAAGTACGGAGGCAGTCCAAGGCAAATAACACTTGACACAAGGAGAAAGAGGATCTATGGGTGTAATTACGGGAAACTGTTCACAGTGACCTATGATGGTCTGAAGGTCTGGCAACATTAGCCACAGGAGGTGACATGCGTGCTGTAACCCTAGATCAGACAGCTGGTGTGTTGTATTATAACATTGAGAGGAAACTGATAAAGATGACAGTGTCCACTAATGTGAGTACAGAGGTGACCACACTGAGCGCCGTCCCCTGGGACATGAGACTGTATAGAGGCACCATCTACTTCACTTGCTATAGTTCTCTTATTGTAGGTGCAGCCGATGTGACAAACAACACTGTTGTATACACTCTCCAGTCAATACCCATGAAGGGGGCTGGTGCTTTACTTATGTGTTTGATTCCCTGAATTCTGTGATGGATATTCTACTATGAATTTGGAAAATACTCAACTGAGTCGTTTAGAACCACAAAAACCAACTCTGATTAAACAGCTCACTTGGCGGCCACTGTTGTATACACTCTCCAGTCACTACCAATGAAGGGTGCTACTATTTTACTTACCCTATTTCCTCTATTAGACGACCGGGCTTCTATTTACTTCGGACAAGCCTTTGACCCGGCGTCAATTAGAGGCCCGGCTTCGATTAATACGTCTAAGGGAGTCCTCATTATGTAATTTAGGTCCCAAAAAGGGATCATTAATTGTATCAATTGATCGACCCGGCGTCTATTAGAGGCCCGGTTTCTATTTTTTGCACTGAACAATTGACCCGGCGTCTATAAGAGGCCCGGCGTCTAATAGAGGAAATACGGTATGTGTTTGATTCCCTGAATTCTATGATGGATATTCTACAATGAATATGGAAAATGCTCAACTCAGTAGTTTCGACTTACAATAACCAACAGCTGATTTAAACAGCTGATTTGGCGTCCACATCACCATGGAAACTGATATTTATAGAAGTACTTTTTTCTCAAGCATTGTTAGACATTTTATTGTACATTATATTGTATAAATCTACGTTACCAAGTGCAGAGGATCCGCCATTCAAAGCACGAGTGGCAATAGATATGGGAAGGAAAACACAATGGAAACCGGACTGAGTGATTGTATTTCCAGTTTTGGGGACAACAGTGAGCTTAAATTAGGCACCTTTCTATATCCGACTGTGACGTCACATCATTTGCGTCACAATGAGCGATAATATGTATGCGCTGCGTGGATTAAAACACAGTACGTTTATGTTTATCGAGCTCCTTCCCAGCGCGTGACACCTTACATCGCTGTGAGGAGCATGTACGTTTATCTCTTATTCTATTATGAATTTGGAAATTATTCGATTTTGATTGGTCAATCTGAGGTTGTCATATCACAATCAAGCCTCTCTGATTGAAACAGCCGATTTGATTAGCTAATGTTAATAGAATAGTACTGTTTTAAGTCATTGGCGGTAGGCATATTTCGGAACGATGAGTGTTCGGTTCCAATTTCAGTTTACTGCGGTTAAATCTACAAGTAACCTAGCTCTACATCGAAAGCACAGTGAGTCCATCTCCTATATATTCCACCACACGAATATTTGAACCTCCATATATGTCCATCATATAGCAGTAGATTATTGGACGCATTTCGTTTATTTGAAGTCGGCAAAAGAGTTGATATAACTGTACAGCATCGTGTCCCTGATATAGTGATTTGGGGATTATAGGTTTGACATATAATTAAGTTTAGGTTGTAAAGTCGGTGATATGTACTGTAAGAGTTTGTCAATAAATACATTTTCATAGTTCCATTGCTATTATCTATGTTTCCAACTTACACATAACAATGCAAGCTTCTGTACGAAATACCTCTGCTGACACCAAGGCACCCACCGTCTTTATATTCTGGGAGGGGCCTTGAGTTGATTTTGAACTAATAATTTGTTCCAGAAAAAAATGGAAGATATCAATTTGACCTCAGGTTTTCCCCAAAAGCCAATTGCCTGGAGCTTGCTGTGTTTCTTGAAGACACTCTAATGTGAAAAACCTTCATTGTTCGGCTCTTCATTTCACAGAAATACATTGTATGTTTTGAAGCAGAGGCTGAAGACATAGCCCAGGAACATTATACAAATACTTACTCTTGACGAAGGGGTCGGGTCCTCGGGTCCTCGGGTCCAATGACCTCGTCAAGAGTAATCATTCGTTGTCAGTATACCAAAAATCACTTTAAAGTGCAAGTATCATTTGCGTATAATATATCAGTATTCCAGTATATCACGGCGTGTCAGCTTAAAGTGGGAGGAAAGCCCGAAGTAAGGCAGGTCTCAGACGTTTACCACTTCGGTGAATGCGCATGCGTCAGAAAAGCAAGTCGCTGAAAAGTCTTCTCCACCAAAATCATCTTATACCTGTATCATTATCAGATATTGTGACGCAAAAATCAGGTAAGGTGATTGTGAAGATACCTACAATGGACTCATGTTAGTGAATCATTAAGATGGTTTTTAGGTTTTGCTTAAAATCAAGTGTCCAAAATGTGTAGAAATGTGAAGGAGAATTTACACAAGTGGACTAGTGCTGATTGACTGAGCGTCCGATTAATCAACAAACAATGGGCAGCCCAAGCAGAGTCAGTGAAGCAATTAGTAGCGCTGTCAGCGAGGAAGATGACCTTCGATACGCTACACAAAGTGTTGATGATATAGACAATGACATTTTCAATGAAATACACAGACGCCTTGGACAACTAGATAGAATTTCTTTCGAAACTGAACTTTTGGACATATTCAATGATGATGAAGAAAAACTAAACGAAGTGAGACAAAGTCTTTATGACGTAGCCAAGGATGCTCGACACGATATCCCAAATGGATATCTACCAAAGCATGTACAAAGAGAACATTCCAGGTAGTCTGTGACTGAGAAATATGTGTCTGATGTATATTGCCTCTATGGTTTTTTATTACACACACAATCCCCTCTCATATACTGAAAAAATAAGTACAATGGATATCTCAAGGTAAACCTGGAGGAGATGCACATGGCTGTTATCAATAGTATAAGGCAGTAAGATGCAAGTTCCCTCGACAGAAAAGAAAGCAATGGGACAGACACAAGTATGCAGACCTGAACTCTGTCTGTGAAGTGGACATTGGTGAATTTTATAGAACTGTCAGGAAACAGAGGAAGACTAATGCAATATGTACATCACTACTGTATAATGACAAGATGGCCAGCACACCCGAGGACATCTGCAATATGTGGACTGGTTATTATGGGGATCTGCTGTCTCCTCTCGGTAGACCTGAGTTTGAAACGGACTTTTATGAGGAAACAAAATCAAAGGTTTGTGATATAGCAAACAGTAACATATCTGAGAACGATCCAATCCTGACGACAAGTATTGCATCTAATGAAGTGAAATCAACCATTAAGAGGCTGAAAAAGAATAAGTCTCCTGGACAAGACAGTATTACTGTAGAACACCTCTATAATGCTGACAATCTTCTGTTTAAACATCTGGCACACCTCTACAGTATGATGATCAGTACTTGTTACACGCCTGTCATGATGAGAACTGGAACTATTATTCCCATCTACAAAGGGAATAATAACGATAAATGCAACCCAGCTTATTATCGATGTATCAATCTAACATCCGTGAATGGGAGGGTATTTGAGAGCTTGTTGCTAGACAGACTGGAATCCTACATCAAAACCATTAATCCTGATTTCCCACATCGTCTCCAGTGCGGCTTCCGGAAAGAGCATGGCGCCAGTGTTGCTACATATGTTAAAAGAGGCTATTTCCTATTAACAAGATAGACACTCAAATATATGTGTTGCCTTTCTGGATAACGAAAAGGCCTTCGACAGAATATGGCATGAGGGGCTGCTACTGAAACTAACTATACAATCTTGGT